AATTATGAGATCTGAAAAACTGGTAAAACGTATCAATCTCTATTATCGTGCAAAGGTATTAATGTTTGGATTGGCATCAAAATAGAACCCAACTTGCTCTTCATTGTTTTTATAGAAAAATATAGTACCAAATCAACCCACCAAACTAATTATCATCAAATCTAGCTAGGCGTTAGATTCCCTCATTATTCAGAGAAGAAAAACCAAAATAATAAGTAACTTTCACGTCCACATATTTGTTTAGAGTAATATTCTCGCACCATTTGTATACATTATTTTAATCGTTTCGATTAATTAATATATACAGAACTCGAGTCAGTCGAGGAAGAGTAGCTAAATTATTTCCGAATTTAAATAAGTAATAACCACGTACGGCGTCATTTCTTGTTAAACCAATTTGACCTCACCAAGACACCAACTGAATTATTCACAGAATCATATCTTCAAATCATAAACAAATATTACAAATGGACACTTTGATTTTAAGATTGAAAATAAAAATGTAAAATAAAATAAATCGATTTCTCGATGAAGCCAAAGAGAGGATCTACCGACTGCAAAGTACTGCAGAGGAAGAATCTATCTTCCCTTTTACTTTTTTGCTTTTTTTTTTGTTATTTTTTTTTTGTTATCTAATAAAGTCCTTTTTTTTTACTAATTATGTCTTTTTTTTTTTACCGTGCAAGTCACCACGTGAACTTTCATCTCAGGAGAGAAATGGGCCCATTAGGATTCTCCGTATCTAATTGCGGACCCTACTCTTTCACCACACACGTGTGACCTCATCCTCTCCCACGTGAATATCCACGTGGCGTTATTTTCCTTCCGTTTCTCCCATCCCTCCCATGCGCTCCCCCATGACTATTCCATACTCATCCTTCCCTTAATTTGCAGTTAAATTCCATTTCTTCTCCTTATATAATCAAAATTTAAAATTTTACCCCAAAAAGAATCATTTCAGTATCGAAACTCAGACTAATATTTAAAATCGTTACATTATCAAACACCAATCCCCTACTTTAGGTTGAAAATTCTCCAATCAACATATACACATCAAAACGGTTGATTTGTCTACCACTTTGTTCTTGATTTCGCAGACAACTACTTTTTCAATAGTCAAGTCAATGGATACATAGATTTAAACACATAACACGTTTTTATCAATAAGAATTTCAAAATGGTTGATATTTGCAGTTTGATAGTGCCAAATTTTGAAGTAGTCAAATTGAAACGTATTCGGTCTACAATGTCTTGCTGCTGCTATAAATACAATAAGTGTATACACTAAGTAGTATGTATAGATAGTTAACAATACACATTGACACGTAGATATCACACGGTCCTTTTTTTAATTTTTATTAGAGATGAATTTGTTTTTCTTTTTATAAAAATTAAAGATGAATTTGTTAATAAGAAAATGACGTGATCTTCTCTGGTACAACTCTTTGTCCTATAAATAGAGAACCTCCTGTCTTCATATTCTCGACACGCACATATAAACGCATAAACTCGTTAACTCTGTACGAAAAATGAGATAAAAAGCTCGTTATGTGATTATTATAATATTAAACTTTTCACCCAAACCGAAAAAAAAAGAGAATCTGTGCATGTTGCTCAGAAAATCTTCAAAGCGTAATCTGAGCTTACGTTAGCTCTCACGAACTCCCAAGGATCTCCTATATATGTTTTTTTTTTTTCATTTCCCCATAAAATCTTTCATCATCAAAACAGTATTCTCATATCTTCTCTTCTTCTATATATTCCCTTCCCCTTTAGTCTCCAGAGGTCCAATCTTGATTCTTGTTCTTGATTCTCTTTATGAATCGTGAGATGACGTCAAGCTTTCTTCTCGTGACGTTCGCCATATGTGAATTGATCATAGCCGTTGGTCCTAGCGAGCTCCTCCGCATCGGAGCCATAGATGTCGACGGCCACTTCACCTTCCATCCTTCCGACTTATCCTCCGTATCGTCGGACTTCGGTATGCTAAAGTCACCGGAAGAGCCACTAGCCGTGCTTCATCCATCCTCAGCCGAAGACGTGGCACGACTCGTCAGAACAGCTTACAGCTCCGCCACGGCGTTTCCAGTTTCAGCCCGAGGCCACGGCCATTCCATTAACGGACAAGCCGCGGTGGGGAGAAACGGGGTGGTGGTTGAGATGAACCACCGCAAAACCGGGACGCCGGATCCGCTCGTCCGACCGGAAGAAATGTATGTGGACGTCTGGGGTGGAGAGTTATGGATCGATGTGTTGAAGAAAACGTTGGAGCATGGCTTATCACCAAAGTCATGGACTGATTACTTGTATCTTTCCGTTGGTGGTACACTCTCCAATGCAGGAATTAGCGGTCAAGCTTTTCACCATGGTCCTCAGATTAGTAACGTCCTCGAGCTCGACGTTGTGACTGGTTAGTATAAAACATATTCAGATTCATATATATAAATATTTTTGTTGAATTTTATTGGTAACAAAAAAAAAATTGAAACAAAAATAGGGAAAGGAGAGGTGATGAGATGTTCAGAAGACGAGAACACCAGGCTATTCCATGGAGTTCTTGGTGGGTTAGGTCAATTTGGGATCATTACACGAGCACGAATCTCTCTCGAACCTGCTCCCCAAAGGGTAAATATTTTTTTTTTTCCTAGATTGATTTTCTGTTGTCACGTAATAAAAATTTATTGGCGGCCGGGTCCATTACTTTTGACATTTTTACTGTTGGCGACATTTTTTTGGACCTATATATCAAATTATGTTAGTAAAACCCTAAATGATGTATAATATGACAGGTGAGATGGATAAGAGTATTGTATTCGAGCTTCAAGGTGTTTACGGAGGACCAAGAGTACTTAATATCGATGCATGGTCAATTAAAGTTTGATTACGTGGAAGGGTTTGTGATTGTTGACGAAGGTCTCGTCAACAACTGGAGATCCTCTTTCTTCTCTCCTCGTAACCCCGTTAAGATCTCCTCCGTTAGTTCTAACGGCTCCGTTTTGTATTGCCTTGAGATCACCAAGAACTACCACGACTCCGACTCCGACACCGCCGATCAGGTAATACTTTAATTATTTTAATTTCCGCTTTTCACACTAATTCATATAAAGAGATATTCTTATTTTTATATATTGATGAATATCTGGAAGGATTTTAACGCTATGCGATTATTGGGGATATCATGATTAAGTATTTGGTTTTCTTTTAGTTTATATGATTGAAAGTGGTCTCCATAGTATTTTTGTTGTGTCGACTTTATTTAAATTTGGAAGAGGACATGAAGAAGAAGCCAGAGAGGATCTACAGAGATCTAGCTTTTCCACCTGAACTTAATAATACACACAAATATTTGGTTCTTCTTCTTCTTATGTTTAGTTTATCACTAGCGAATTAATCATGGTTACCAATTAAGTAGTGGACGTGGGTCATGGACCACTCACCAAATAATGATTCCTCTTTTCTCTAGTTAAATTTAATAAAACCAACTCTACTGGAATCTTAACTTATCCTTGGTTTTGGTAGGCTTTAATAGCAAAACAGCTTTTTAATTTTTTTTTTCCCATCTAACTTTGGTTTTCCTATTCCGGATTTAATAATCTAAAAGTGGATGTTGTTTTTTTTGCTACAGGAAGTAGAGATTTTGATGAAGAAATTGAATTTTATACCGACATCGGTATTCACGACGGATTTACAGTACGTGGATTTTCTGGATCGGGTTCACAAGGCGGAATTGAAGCTCCGGTCCAAGAATTTATGGGAGGTTCCACACCCTTGGCTCAACCTATTCGTACCGAAATCAAGAATCTCTGATTTTGACAAAGGCGTTTTCAAGGGCATTTTGGGAAACAAAACAAGTGGCCCTATCCTTATCTACCCAATGAACAAAGACAAGTAAGTCTCTCGACTCGATATGATTTTCATTTGCTTCTTCTAAATATCTTTTTAGGAGGAAAAATAATAATAATAAACGAGTTTTGCATGCATGCAAAGTTTACACTTGTGGGGGATAATTTTGTGGTCCAAATAAAATAAATAAAGTTTTGAAAAAGAACTAGCGACACGTGGTACATGGGATTGTCCGAAAAACGTTGTCCACATGTGCATGAAATCGAACCAGCTAAGATTGACAATAACGCCTCGTCGTCTCGTCTTTCTCTTTTGGTTTCGTTGTCCAATTTGTAACCAAAATCCGACGGTCCAGATTGGGTTTGCTGTTTTTTTAGTTCCTAGAACTCATGGTGGTGGGTCCCAGTCGGATTCTCGTAAACCAAACCGATCTCAACGACCCTCCCACACATCATTAATTAACTATCGATGTTGTCGTGCTGACGTGTCGTTTTTTTTTTTTTGTAATGCCAGATGGGACGAGAGAAGCTCAGCAGTAACGCCGGACGAGGAAGTCTTCTACCTGGTGGCTCTACTGAGATCGGCTCTAACGGACGGTGAGGAGACGCAGAAGCTAAAGTATCTGAAAGATCAGAACCGTCGGATCTTAGAGTTCTGTGAAAAAGCCAAGATCAATGTGAAGCAGTACCTTCCTCACCACGCAACACAAGAGGAGTGGGTGGCTCATTTTGGGGACAAGTGGGATCGGTTTAGAAGCATGAAGGCTGAGTTTGATCCTCGACATATACTCGCCACTGGTCAGAGAATCTTTCAGAATCCATCTTTGTCTTTATCTCCTTCATCGGCTTCATGGTGACGGGACAAAATCAGAAGGAAAAGTAGTTGTTGAGAAAAAATATTCTTCCTGATGTATATATATGACCTAGTAGAGAAGCATCAGAGAGATTAGGTTTGGGTCATTTGTTAGTAGGATTTTTAAAACTAGAGTAGAAAGATTCAAAATTAGTCAGATTTAATCTGTTTTGATATTTTTACATCAAGGATTTTTGGAAATGGGTTTAGTAGTGGACGGCGTAAAAATTTAAAATCAACAACAAACAAACCTTAGTACTGTTTTGGGATTATTATACATTTATATGGAGCCTGATGAATGGTTTTTATACTTTATCGTCGTGGAACCACCATCGAGTCTCCTTAGGAGACCTTCCGTTCTTACAATTCTTCACATATCGATCATTATCGATGGGTCGTTGCTGCAGCAAAAAAACCAAACCAAGAGAGAGGATCGCTTTTAAGCTTTGTGGAAGAACAAAGAGCGTAAGAGAGTTCATATAACGGATAGTTTTAAGAGCTGTATGTATATGTACCTTTTCGGTTGAGCTTGAGAGCATGGAGAGGATGCTGATGCAGATAGAACTCACGGTCATGGCTGGAGACCACGAATCATACAGAATATCTGCAAATGATAACATAACAATCAGATTCTTCTATGGAGCGGCTTATGTTACTGAACGTTACAGCCATTCTGTATAATTCTCAACACTGATCATATATCATCTTTGATTGTTGTGTATCAGCTTCTAAGTTGTTTGATCTCTAATGACAGTCTCACCCTCACGTAGGACTGGAAACAAATTCTATCGAACCTTTTACTTTGTGCATCAAAAAAACATCAGATTAGCTTATTGTCATTATCACAACGATTATCGAATAATAACCTAATACCAAGCTTCAGATGAATGCAAAGTAATCAGAAACAGAAACAGCAAGAGCGTAATGCCAAGAGCAAGAGTGTATCAGAAACAGAGGACAATCACGTTACCTAAGCAAATATGGCCATTGCTATAAATATGAGGATGCAGAGGAGCCGGAGGAAGAAAAATCACCTGTGTACAGTGAAAAAACATCATAAGGAAAAAACTCAAACTCAAACTCAAAGTCGATTCGAGAGAGATGAAGCAGAGATCGATCCCGCAGATTAAAAAGGGAAAAACTTTCATCACTGATCATCAAGCAAATATATTTCGTATGAATCCTCTAAAAAGTTAGTTTAGAGATCAATTCTTGATTTCACTAAAGATATAAATAACAGAGCTCGAACACTCGCTTGCGGCGATTCCATAGGATAATGCTCTGGAAAATCAACTTGAAGCTGATACGTATCGTTCGCGTACAGAGTTCCCGGAGCTCCGATTGCTTCAATTATCCATCTGTAAGTGTAAACCCCCATGAATTTTGATGATTCTGAAATTCAATAAGACAAAATTAGAAATCCAAAAAAAGTTACCTCTGGAGATTATCAGTGACCTTGTGTTTGAACCCTGCGGGTGGATTCCTCTGCCACTCGACGAGCTCTTTCTGAAGACGATTACACGCGATCTTGCTCAGGGCCTAACGCGGTTTCCAACAAAAGTCAACATAACAGTCAAAAACCCTAATTTCATAAACCAAAGTCAATGAGAGAGAGAGAGAGAGAGAGAGAGAGAGAGAGAGAGAGAGAGAGGGGACCTTGCGAGAAGGAGCACCAGAACTTGTCATGGCTTTCTAGAGATGGAGACGATGATCGATCCCCTTTCGAGAAGAAGGATCGAGGAAGGATCGAAAATCGGAGGGCTCTGATTTCTGTGGGTCCTCCTCTCTGATCGTATAATTCAGATCGGGAGAGCGACGGTAACGATGATGCCACGTGTACTATCCTGCGCTTTTTAGATCTGTGACCGTTTCGTTTATTTGTGTGTCAGCGAGCGATTCAGTTGCAGCCAGAATCGCTGCGTTTTTGCTGCGTGAAACGGTCCAGGGGTACAGTAGTCATTTACGACATTCACCATTTGACATTTATTTGCAGCTGAAATATATATATATATTCACGAATCAATTTAAACTCTTTGTTGGCCAAAATAAATAACGAATGAACAGTGTTTATAAGCTTATAGTATTATTCTAGTTTATAAAAAATTTGTATATATATATTAAAGATAGAATAATAAGAAGCCAAAGCAATGTCTTGAAGATCTTTGCAGTGTCTTCTCAACATCTACGAGTTGTCCTATTTAGCAGCTACTATCAACGAATATACACATACTATTCTTAAAGTTGTCATGTTCCTTTGCTTTTATGGTACAGACGCAGACAAAAGTCTCTGAAATTCCAATAAATTATAGCAACCATGAATTGATTCAAAGACTCTGATTGAACCTAATACCTTTTTCCATCGACATTCAATGAGGTTCAGACTCTTACATAAATTTCCAAGAAACATGGTTTTGTATGAAATTTAAACATTTTTAATTCCACTATTTTGTAACCTTTTAGTTTCAGTGTTTAAATTTGAAGAATTGTGATATTTATTTTGTTTTTTGCATATAAAATGACGAAATGAATGAACATAAATTATGATTCTGTATAATTATATGATTGATAGAATTTTGTTTTGTAGAAATGTGAAATCAGAGAGTCGTTATGAAGATTATCCATTCCCTAAGCCCTGATGAGAATCGTCGCTGGCTCCATCAACAATTCTCAAATTTTTTTAGAGATATAACCAATTTTAAAGACTTCTTAAGCATTTCCAATCTATTACTATTTTTTCCTCTACTTTTAGATGAAAAAATAGAGGTGTTATTTTTATTTTTCAATTCACCTCTATTTTATAGGAAAAAATAGAGATGCTACTTTTTTCTCCAAATATAGAAGAAAAAATAGGTTCTTCTATATTTTCCTCTAAAATAGAGATATTCCTTTAAAATAGAGGTGGATTGGAGAGAAATCTACCTCTATTTTAGAGTTCTTCTATATTAGAAAAAAAAATAGTAAAATAGATTGGAGATGGTATTAACCGATATAGCTAGTAATAAAATAGAAACAGATAATATTATTTTATTTAATAAAAAAAGAATACAGAAATTAATACTTGTTGTTTGCATCTGTGTGTCTTTTTCTCTTTTTGGTTATTGAACTTCCCAACAAAGTTCGAAGCTCAAAAAGGGGATTGTGGGTACTGATGCAATGCAAGATAAGAAGAAGCATTTATGCAAAAAGCCTGTTGTTTCGTGCTCAGAGGAGGGACCATATAGATTTGTAATCCTTTTTATTCTTCTTTCTTTTGAAAAGGATATACAAATATAAAATTTCTTGGACTGGTGTTAATTACTTGTTTCCATTTATTTGTTAAAGTACCAGTCATAGGAGGAGGTATATAGGTAACTATGCATAGTGCTTTTGCTGCAGGCTGCAGCATTGGCCCTTACTCTTTTGGTGCTTCGTGATTTCAAAATCTTCAGTGCTTTTCTTAACACAAAAATTGTATTTCAACCAGCTTTGACCACCGATTACCTTTTTTTTTTAATGTCAAAGATTACATGTTTTGAAAAAATAATGTCACACAACACAATGAACAAAACATTATTATATACACGTACAGGTTACTTGTAGAAAACTGGTTAGTTTTCGTTTCAAATTTTGAGGTAGTCTTTAAATAGACTGGTAACTTCTGGTAACTGCCTATTTTATATAGGTTTCAAAAGCTAACTTCGCTGCGAGTCAATTAGCTTTTATTTTATATTTTATTTTAAGTAATGTAGTTTCTAGCTTATACGAGTATGAATAATATAAAATATTGCTTCTTTCTTACATATTCATGTATGTGGAGCGAAAAGAGTAAAGTTTAACAGTACCCACAAAGCTTTTTTTCTTTCATTTTTTTTCAGAACTTATTTTCTCTCCGGGTAGAAGAAGAAGATGGAGGAGTTTAGGGTAACACATGAGTTTTCATCTGTGTCGTTGGATTCAAGATACGTCAAGGCAGTGCGTTGCCTTGTAGAAGAAGTTATCGATATAGGTGGAAGAGAGGTTGATCTTTGCAACGACATTCTTATCCAACAACTGTTTCCAGGAAGGAGAAGATCTGGTTTCGGTTTGTCGTCCGAAATTAAATCCGACCTATGTAGTGCAGGTTTCATGTCTTTGCCTGAGAATCACGAGCTTCATATCAAAATCTCCAAGCTTCTCAGTTTGTTGCAACAGGTCAGTCACTACAATCTTAAAATCCTAAATTATATAGCAAAATTAAGAAAATAGTGCATGTCCTAAATAGTAAGCTTAAGCCCTTTGTCAAAAAAAATATATAAGCTTAAATCCAAGATCTTAAACCATAATCGTGAAAACTTAAATTTATAACCCTAAAATCGAAACCAAACATAGTCTATTTCCTTAAGATGGAAAGAGTGAGCCTAAATTTTACATTTTAAAGTTCGGTATTTTAATGACCGTTTTCTCTTTTAAAAAGATTTTCCCCTAATTATCCAATTACTAGCTTTTCCTTCGGTTTTAGTTTCATTTGCTTTTTTTTTTCTGGTTAAATACGGTTTACTTCTCCTCGGTTTTCAACAGGTAGAAGAAAGGTTTGACATTTACTGCAATCAATTGGAGCAAGTGACTTCATCATTTGAGGAAGTAGTAGGAGAAGGATCGTCCAAACTATACACTGGTTTAGCTCTTCAAGCCATGACTCGACACTTCGGTTCTCTCCAAGAAGCTATACTCACTCAGCTCAACGTTCTTCGTCGGAGATTCATCATATCTCAAGATGTTGTTCCCAAGATCATCAGCTCTGGCCTGTCACAGCTCAGCTTATTCGATGGGAACACTTCTTCATCGCTTCAGCGTCTCGGTTTGGTTCAAGGACGACAGAGACATGCTTGGAAACCCATCAGAGGCTTGCCCGAGACTTCCGTTGCGATTCTCCGAGCTTGGCTCTTTCAACATTTCTTGCATCCGTGAGTTTTCTTGCTGCTTAAGTAAATTTCAACAGTGGAAATGGGAGTAACAATGTTGGAGAAATAACGTTTTGGATTATTGTAATGATTACAGTTATCCGAATGATGCAGAGAAGCTGATGTTGGCGTCTCAAACAGGACTTTCCAAGAACCAAGTACCTTTCCCTCTGTATCTGATTGTGCATTTTCTAAAAGTAACTCTGTTTTTCATGAAAATTCTGATTTGAGTTCATTTTCTTGTGTTTGTTGCTGGTCGAAGGTATCAAACTGGTTTATAAATGCTCGAGTTCGACTTTGGAAACCGATGATAGAAGAGATGTACAGAGAGGAGTTTGGAGATTCCTCAGATGAATCCATGCAAAGAGAAGGCAATGATGATTCAAACTGACGGGAAAAAAAAAAACAGAACAGAGAGGTTCTTCTTCTTTTGATGAGTTTGTTACTCAATTTTATGCCTTCTTCTTTCAGTTTCTCTATCTTTTACTCTTTCCGAAAATCAGCATTGTAATGTGCTCTGGACTCGAGTTTCTTCACTTCGCCTAGTTTTCTTACAGCCTGATCGAATGAGATTTGTTTTCCTAATATTGTATGATACCAGACTTCGACGGCACTATACACAATACTCAACTCGTACTTCGTAATCAAAAAACACCATTAATTTTTCCTCTGAGGTTGAGTCGTAAATTTTCTATGAACAGAATAAATAAGTAAGAACAGAAAGTCATTTTAATTTTTTTTATTAAAAAATAGCCCAAAATTGGCATCCTCTTGCTACATCTATTATACAAAGAGCCTCCTCTGCAGAATCAGATTTCCATGGAAGCTCACCAGAGAGACACAAAGAACATACCGATGAAAAAAATTCCAGTTCAATGATCTGATCTCATCGTAAAGCCTTTGCGTGTTGCAACACTTCTTTGAGCACCGAAGCTATTCGATGGGACATATGATGTTCCAAAAACATTTCCTTTACTCTCTCATACCCATTTTTCCCCATTGTTAGCCTTAACTCAACTTGCATCGCCAGTTTTACTATGTTCTTAGCGAGAGGTATCACACCTTCTTTACCCGCACTGTGTAACAATCCAGTCGTCCCGTTCACCACAATCTCCATTGTACCTCCCGCTGCAGTACCAAGTACAGGTAGCTTAAAGGCCATGGCTTCGATTGTGATTCTCCCAAAGCACTCTCCTCTGGCTTGGGAGTTCTGAACTAAAACGTCTATCGCTGCTATGTACGGAGCTACGGTTAGCGTTTTGTTGACAAAATGAACATAGCTCTGAAGCTTCTTCTCTTGCACAAAGTTGCGCAGTTCTGTCTCGAACTTCGTCTGTCGGCTCATGTCGCTTCCTACTACTACCGCAAGCATTCTTGGTACCTCAAGTTTCTTCTCTTTGATTATTTCAAGACTTTCGTGGAAAGCTCGGAGGAACAAGTCCTGGCCTTTCCCGCGCGATACACCTGAAAAGTAATAACAAACTAAGTAAACTCTTTCGTGAAGCGTGAACTCTTCTTGCTCCTATGGAAAAAAGCAAGACTTGAAAAGATTGGCTTAACTATTAATAATGCCAAATAGTAAGTCTTGATTCCGCACTCCGAGAGATTCACGGACGTGCTCACGGAGAACTCTCTTGGCAACACCATCTTCAGCTACTTCCATCAACTCCTTGCTATTTCCTAGATGCACAACGTAAGTTTTAGGCATTTTAATCCTGCATTCCAACAATCATAAAGACAATGTTAAGCTATAAGAAGACAGAAACAACAGGTGAATCCAACTGCAAATGAGGGTGTAAAGAGGAAACGGACCCTAGGCGAGCTTGAGTTCTATCCTTCCAGTACTCAGCTGTTGCGTGGGAATCAATCATCGCCCCTGCAACAAAGGGGAGGTGTTTGACCAAATCTGGTTTGAAATAGTGGCCTCTCATCTCGTGAATCCACCAGAGGATCTTGGGAAGAACTTTGCGAACATCTTCCTTGAGAACCGCATCCAGCCATTTCCCAGCCACGGCAGTATTCAGAACGATCAAATCAGCCTTGAGAGCTGTGTCTATGGCTTTCTGACCCTTTGCAGATATGACCTGGAGACAATCAATAGTAAATGATACTCCTTTCTTCTAGTAATGCTAATTCCAGACGAAGAAGAGAGAGAGAGAGAGTGGACTCGAAACCTGCACTCCTCGATCCAACATCTTGTGTTCGAGACTGTAGATAACTTCATCTTCTTCGGGTGGTTTCTGGTTAGTGATCCAAACAACTTGAGCACCAACTCCTCTTAACAAAAACGCTAATTCCATTAGCAGCAAAGGTCCACCTATGTTCACACGAATTCATCATTGCCTCAGAACAGAACAAAAATAGGATTTTACGGAGAACCCAGGTAAAATACGATATCAGATCAAATCAGCACCTGAGAGCGATAGCTCGTGAGAGACTAACAAAACGAGCTTCGATTTCATGAAACCTAGAGGATTCGGCCGTTCTGGAATTGACCGAAACTTCTCCTCCGCGAATTGATGGCCGCTGATTTTACCACCGACGGTGCAGGATTCAAAGCTAGATCTCACGAGAATCACACCAACGGTTGATACTGATAAAACCAACAAAATCATCAGAGCCCATCTCTTCCTTTGCATTGTGACAAATACACTCATCGACGTCTTCCCCATTTGCTTTATCCGCTAAACACACATCCTACAGCTTCAACTTCCAGAATCTTCGCCGAATTCTCATCGAACAAGTTAATGATCTCCGGATATTGAAACTACGCCGGCGGAGAAGCTTGTGTGATCTAATCGAGAGGAGAATCGGAGAAAAGTGGATCACTATCGCAGCAGATCAAAAGGCCTCAAGTCAGTGAGAGACTGAAGAGAGAACCTCCAAAAAGAATTTTAGTCTTTAAAGCTTTGCAATTCACGCCGTTTTCACGATATTCTTGAAGAAAGTCTTGCCGTTTTGTTTTTAGTGCCGTCACTCTCTGGGCCAGGGAGAAGGTTAAGTGGACTTACAAAAACCCGCTACTGCCCTTCGTTTGGATTATAATGGGCTTTTAAAAAGGCTTTTAAATTTCTTAAAACAGTGACCACTTTAGTCAGTATCATTTTCTTCAGCTACTTGATTTGAACACAAAATTGTAGCGTTACTTACAGCTAGATTTACCGCCATCGACGAAGCCAATAAAAAAACTTCATTGATTTTCGTTTGTGAAATTATATTGATCTCTACGTTATACTATAATTGTTTACTTTAAACTCTTTTCTTTTGATGACATTTATATGTAAATGTGCCTACAGAACTTGCACTTGTGACAATCAAAACTCAGCTAGTTTAACGGTGCGACTATTTTTATTTTGTCAACTGTATTAATATATTAACTAGAGTACTAATTATCTTAAGCTGTCATTATATACGTGTTCATAAAGATGTTTATCTGTTTTTTTTCTTTCTTAATAAATGTGGGAAACAGCTTTTATCCTAATAAAAAAGCTGTTAGTTTCTTACTCGCCATTTCTTCATGTAGTACTATTTTTTAATTTATTATATATCAAAACGCATCATAATTCGCTTTAAAAAGTCACATTCATTTAACCTATTTTAGAAAGTTTAAATACTTGATCCGTCGAATTTGTCTATTTTTTCCCCATACTCCATCCACCTGCCGTTTACCAATTCTACATTAAAAAAATGTTTATCAAAAGAAAAACAAAATAATCCATTCACGAATCAAAAACACATAAATAATTTTGTTGACACATTGATTCTCATCGAAAGGTTTGTGTCGGCTGTTCCAATCTACGACAAACCCAGACTCACAAATCACAATAAAAGAATAAAACAAAAGAAAATATAAACAAAATATACAGAAGGAAAAATAAAAAAAACATTTATTAATATGGACACAAAGCCGTTAGCTTACTTCCGTTAGCGTCCACAAGGCAAATTCGCGTCCAAGTCTTTTTGTTTTTTGGCCACTTTCACCAACCTCGCGTCCGACACATCTACCTTATTTATTTCATTCTTCATCATTTTATCGAAAATTCTACTTTTTCTATTATTTATTACACAACCTCCATAGATCCTTTGGGACAAGGAATCGACCTATCAGAGAGCTCAAAACTCTTAATGAATAAATACTCTTTCCTCATGTCATAATTATTGTTTATGAATAGTGCTTTTTTTTCTTCCTCATGGCATATTACTTGATGATTTAAGAAAATATGTTTTCTTGTTAGTCAAATAATTGGATTTTCGTTACAAGGAAGGAAATTGGGTATTCACCAACTGGTTGTTAAGGGCCCCTTAATCCCTCAATTAAGCAATTGAGCAGACACACTTCTTCCTCAAAGAACTCTTCTGGCAAATCAAATTCTCTAGGTTACCCACAGAAAAAACAAAATTTATTTTAAAAAAAACTCTAGCTCGAGGGGTGGTTTTGTAGTTTAACATCTTAATATTTGATATATTGATTATTGACAAATTCTCTGTTCTGTATTTATTAACCATCCTGTAAAAAATCAGAAAATCCCAAAAAATGGAATTAAATTAATTTCCACCTTTGCACGTCACTTAATAAGAAATGTGTGCCCGGTGTATTACGCAAACGAAACACGTATAACTTATAAACAGTATGATACGCCAGAAAAATATATATACTTGAGTTTAGTTACAATTTTTATAGATCGAGAGTTCTGTCATTATGATAACTTTAATGTATCATTTATAGATTAGTTATGAAGTATCATGTCACGTAAGTCGTAACACATGTTTCATGTTCGCTTATCAACAAGGATTCGCAATTATGTACGAAATAAAAACATATGTTGTTGGTTCACACTAACCTATGATTATATCAGCACAACCACAACTAATTTGAGATGCTTTAGTTAACTAATAGATTATGCTTTGGTGGACAGATTTAATAGTAAAACAATCTAACGGTTGCTTGAATTTGTGTCCAAGCTATTTTAACTTATATAAAAAAATACAATACGTATTTCAACTCTTTTCTTCATTTTTAAAGATTTTGTTTATATTTTCTATTCTATTTATTTGAATATAAGCACCAAGTCAAGTCAATGACAACACAGTATTCGTTCGGGTTCAATAATATTTGTTTGTTCATCGATGATTTGAAATATATAAATGCATAAAAAGTCGTATTTTTTAGAAATATTCCCTATTATCTACATTAATAATCCAATCACAGGAAAATAAATAAAATTGAATTTTCTGCTCACGCGTGCTATTCTCTAAATGGTTGGCACGGAAAAAACCAAAGTAAAGTAATATTATAACGATAATTTGATATAGAAGCTTCGGTTCAAATAGAATTCAATAAAGTATTACTGGTAGAGATTGTCAATTTTTTCTTCATAGATTATGATATTGTTGATATGATTATTTGTTTAAGATTATTTTTATTAATTTTAAAATCTGAGGTTTGTTGTCGAGGTTCCAATGATAAGATGGGTTGGTTCTGTTCTTTGTGAGTGACAAAAAAAAAAAAAATTGTTTATTATAATTGCAATTATTAATCGTCTCTTGGGATTGGGTGGCTTCTTCTCTTTTTTCTCTCTCTTTTTGTCTTCGACTGTTCGAAGTTCTTCTCTTTTCTTGTGTTCCCTGATTCAGCCACAGCCACAATCTCTCTTTTGTAGGGTTTTAAACTCTCTCTCAGGTTGTGATTTATTTTAATTAATTTTAATAATCGGTTGTTCTTGGTTTCTTGATTCGAAGCTATGATTGATCTGTACTGTGTTTCTTTTTCAAAAAGGTTTTCCTTTTTGGAAAGAAATTATCATCTTCTCTGTGTTAATAATCCCCATCGCTTATGAAAGTATGAAATCATCAACAGCCATAAAAAATAAACACTTTATATTTCGATCTTTCATCATTTCATCAGCCTCTGCTTTTTTTTTTGTTATACAGTTCGTCACTGAAATTGAAGTGGAAAACTTTCTTCCGTATAAAGATTAGGGTTTTAATTATTTTCCTAATTTGGGGATTCCTGGGTTTCATTTCTTTCTTGAATTTTTTTTTTTTCATCTGTAGTTGCGGCGTGAGAATACGATGTTTTAACCTCCTCTCAAGATTGTTCCTTTTATTATCCAGAATCTGGTTTTAAACTTACACGTCTCTCTCTCTCTTTCTCTTACAGGAAATCTCGTTTTCAGACAAAAGATCAATCGGATGAGAGACTCACTGTAATAACAACATTTTGATTAAAATCCATGGCAGTTTATTACCCAACTAGTGTCGGCATGCAATCTCTCTACCAAGAATCCATCTACCTCAACGAACAACAACAACAACAGCAACAGCAAGCTTCTTCTTCCCCCGCCGCATCTTTCTCCGAGATAGTCTCCGGCGGAAACTGTCTCGAAATCCCTAACTCCGGTGGTGTTCGAAACGAGATGGTTTTTATCCCACCAACAAGCGACGACGTCGTCGCCGTCACAGGTCTCAGCGGGAACGTGAACGGAAACGTCACTGTCTCAAGCAACGATCTAAGCTTTCACGGCGGTGGACTTTCCTTAAGCCTCGGTAATCAGATCCAATACCATTACCAGAATCTCTCCAACCAATTGAATTACAATAATCCGAATCCTTCTTTGTCCGACGAGAATGGGAAGAGCTTAAGTCATCATCATCATCATCATCATCAATCTGAGCAAATTCCTTCCTCTGGTTACAACAATGGAGTTGGATACTTCAACAATTACCGTTACGAGACATCAGGGTTCGTAAGTAGCGTTCTGAGATCTCGTTACCTTAAACCAACGCAGCAACTGCTCGACGAAGTTGTTAGTGTCAGGAAAGATTTGAAATTGGGGAATAATAAGAAGACCAAAAACGATAAAGGTCAAGACTTTACTAATGGGTCGAGTGATAACAACGCAGAAAACGAGAAATCGCAGCAAGAGTTATCTCCTTCAGAGCGTCAAGAGCTTCAGAGCAAGAAGAGCAAGCTCTTAACAATGGTCGAGGAGGTAATTAGTAATTACTCTAACTAAAAGCCTTTGAATACAAATTTTGAGAATTTCTATTGATGATATGGTTTTTGAATATTTTTATTGCAGGTGGATAAAAGGTATAACCAATATTACCATCAAATGGAAGCATTAGCTTCGTCTTTCGAGATGGTAACAGGGATTGGAGCAGCTAAGCCATACACAGCGGTAGCTCTGAACAGAATCTCTCGCCATTTCCGCTGCTTGAGGGATGCGATAAAAGAGCAGATTCAGGTGATCAGAGGGAAGCTTGGGGAGAGAGAGACTTCAGATGAACAAGGAGAGAGGATACCGCGTCTTAGGTACTTAGATCAGAGGCTGAGACAACAGAGAGCTCTGCATCAACAGCTTGGAATGGTTAGACCAGCTTGGAGACCACAAAGAGGCTTACCTGAAAACTCTGTCTCTATTCTCCGCGCTTGGCTCTTTGAGCATTTCCTTCATCCGTAAGTTGTTTGATTAAGGAGAAGCCTCACTTTCTTTTTTTTATGCTCCTCTTTTTCTTAAGTAATAACCATTTTCAGGCTTTTTTTTGTAGATATCCTAAGGAATCAGAGAAAATCATGCTTGCGAAGCAGACAGGACTATCGAAAAACCAGGTAATAGCAAAAGGCATGATCTCGCTTTTGTTTGTCGGCTCAATTTTTTTTGGTCTTGCTTTTATTTGATTGGTTCTTGACAAATTTTTCAGGTTGCAAACTGGTTCATTAACGCGAGAGTTCGGCTATGGAAACCGATGATCGAAGAGATGTATAAAGAAGAGTTTGGAGATTCATCAGAGTTACTCTCTAACTCTAATCAAGAGAACAACAAAATGCAGGAAGCATCTCAGCTCAAACACGAAGACTCTTCTTCGCAACAACAGAATCAGGGAAACAACAACATCGCATATACATCTTCTGATGCAGAAGAAAACCTCGTCTTTGCAGATCCGAAACCAGACCGTGCTACTGGAGAATACGACAGCTTGATGAACTATCACGGGTTTGTTGGTATCGATGATTACAATCGCTACATTGGCCTTGGAAACCAGCAAGATGGCAGATTCTCTAATCCCCATCAGTTACACGACTTTGTTGTCTGAAAAGTTTATGATTCTTGAAGCGCAAGAAAACGCGCTCTTCGCATTTTTATAGATAGGGTATATATATATATATATATATATATATATACAATATATACCTGTAATATTTGTTGTGGCATATATAAAGGTTAGATTTTGTGAAGACTGTAGGTTGTTAGTCTTTACGTTTGTATATTAAATTGAGCCTTATGTACACTTTGGTAATATTGTAATGTTGTGTATAATCTTCATGGTGGTGGTATAAGCAAATACTTTCAAGTGTGAACAAATAATTTTTTTCATCTCCTTTCAGACTATTGTGTCAATTGTAAACATGAAGATCATTCTGGATTAAAGAAACGTCATGCTGCTTCATTTCAAATGGAGAGATTATAGAACTTTCTTGGCGACTTTGTAAATTGGCTGGCAAATTCTTTAACCTCTCTAAAATGACAAGTTTGTTTCAAAACTAAAAATTATACCCATAAGTTACACTGAAACACACAAAATATCCAAAAAGAAAACGTTAAAACACAGCTCTAAAGACTAAAGCTGAAGCTCAATATCTGTTTTTTTTTTTACAAAGCTTTCCTAAATAACCCACATTCCTCTTTATCCAGATCCAGGGGTTTCATCAAAGCTGAGATGTCTGGTTAATTCCCTGCAATATTATCGGTTATTATTAGATAAAATTAGTAAAACACGATTTGACATTTCACAGTGTATAGATCTTTTTACCTCTATGCTTGATGAAGAACGGTTATTACGATGTCTAGACCAAAACCCTTTCTTCAACGCAGAGTCTTTGGAGGAGGGTTTACTCCACTTGGAGCTGATAGAAGCGAAGTGCCATTTCAAGAACGACTTAGACGAGCCTTTGCTACTACAACTAGGTTCCATCTTCAGAGCTTTTCCTTCTCGTTTCCCTGTCTTCTGGAACATAAACTCATCGCATTCACTCTCGCCGTAACTATCCACCACACGGTTTTTACATCTTTTGTAGTGCTTTGCCTTCGCTTCTGCATCCGCCTTTAAGGCTTTCCTCGTTATTTTCGCCACCCGTTTCTCCCCAATCATGCATATGGGACAAGCAGGATCATACTTCTCTATCTCCGTAGTCATGGTCTCTAAGCACTCTGCGTGGTAAACATGGCCACACGCAAGAACAGCAGCGATTGGGAGCTCGAAAGTGGCGATAGAAGACCTCTCGGTAAGTAACTTTGAGCAAGCTCCACAAGTCTGCTGATCTACAACGGAAGGGGAGAAGGAGAATCTGCTGCTGCCGCCACTAAGTTTCCGTCTGCCAGAGCCTAAGTGTTCGCTATCAAAGGACCATCTCTCCCTTTGAGAATACGCAACGAGCTCGGAGAAAGTGTTCAAGGACCAGCCACCTTCAGAAGAAGCGTAATGAGAACCAGTGGCGAAGTCATTGCTACAGGTCGAAAGCACAAAGGACGACCTTCCTTCAGAGAGTGAGTAATTGTTATTTGGGGATTTCAATCCTAAAATCTGACTATCAGAAACCTGCCTAAACAACTGATGCCCCGGTGAACGCCGAGCCCGTCTTGATGGGGTGGATTTGGGAGGAAGCAACCGTGAGTGAGCCGATGGAAGATCACAGACAGGAGTTGAAAGAGGAGGCGTTGAGAACAAAGGCTTCGGAAGAGGTGATGGAACAATACTAGGTGAGTCAACCAAATTCTTCACCTGAGGACATTGAAGAGCCAGAAAAAGGGTTAAGAGGAACACAAGCAAAAGGGAAAACAAGTCACTCTTAACCCTCAAACTTAAGCTAAAAACTAAAAAAAAAAAGTAGATCATCTCACCTCAACGGGATCATGGCTTGACAAGGATGAATCTGCGGAAACAGAAAAGAGTAACATAAGACACAGAGCAAGCATACAATAACCAAGCTTAGTTCATTACTGTAGAATGCTTCTCGGTTACAGGATCGAACATGGTCATATCGAATGCTTTTCCATCTTTGATCATGTTGTGTGAGTGAATTACCTGAAGAAAGTGGGAGAATCGAATTCGCGCCCATCTCAGGGGTCACTGATTTCTGAGAAACAGGAGTGCCTAAATGTCCATCAGGAGGTGTTCCTCCTTCAGAAAGTGTTCCTCTTTCAGAGCCTAATGACATCTTATCCATGCTAATCCCTCTGCTCCCAACATATGGACTGTAATAAGGCGAACCCTCAATCTCATCGGCGACCCGTCTCCTGTTGTCGCGCCGGAAACTCCATTGCGGCGAGCATGCTGAGTTCCGATGAATAGCTGCACCTGCAGGGCCACTACTAGGAGGAACCTTCCTGTCTTTCACAGCCACACAACAAACTGAACCCATAAGCTTTCTCTATTTATATGACTCCAAACAATTTGCACGTCCTCACGCAGTTACACCCACTTATCTTCCTGATGTAACCCTGCAGAAATAGATCATAGCATGGACTATATAAGACTCATTTCAACTGGTAAAAGAGTAACTTGATAAGATCTGAAATTCTAACAACGAAACAGAAGAACCTATAAAAGGAGATTGATCATTCAAATTCCCCAGAAAAAGTCCATTAAAGCACATCTTGAAAGCAAAAACTCAAATGACCGAAAATCCTAATTCTGATTATGTTCATGTAATCAAATATCTGAAAGTATCTCAACATAGTCGTGAATAACTGAGTCAAAACCCAGAAAATCCAAATTCATCACCAGAAACGATCTAATAACAATACACAAGTAACAAAAAGAATCAACATAAAATTCTAAGTCAATTCGCAATCACATCAGGAAAATTCAATTTTTTTTTTTTAATATCCAGTAAATGGGTAGATTCAACACCGATGGCGGAAACGAAGGCTCACCAGACCAACGAATGTTTCGACGAATCAAAACACGAAAGGCGTATAAAGATGCGTGCGTAGACAATAAAGGGCATGCGTGCGGAGAAAGATCCTCCGGAGATTATTAAAACGGCGGAGATAAACGCTGATCGGCAAGAACCAAAATCGATCTGATAGAGAGAGAGAGAGAGAGAGAGAGAGAAAGACGATGAGAAGAGAAAGCAGTTTTGGGTGCGTCTGCGTCTGCGTCTGGGGACGAAGAAACACGCACGGGGAATTGTGCCACGTTCTTCACTTTTTCTTTTCTTCTTCTTTTTTGTTATTTTGTTATTTTTTCTTTTTCTTTTTCTTTGTTTTCTTTACTTTTGCTTTATGGTAAAGTTTTGTGTCTATTTTCCGAATCAACATTTGAATGATTAAGTCATAAACATTTAAGAAGCACATCTTTTCAAATGTTGAAGAAAAAATTTCCAGACTAAATATGCAAATTCAATAAACAGATTTAGTCTCGAATTTTAAAAATTAAGCATGTTATTTTTTTTTTTTTTAATTTGGAAAGATTGGTGGGATTCTGGACAACCGGGGGAGTGCGCTCTACGTGTCACTGTTTCTCCATTAGCCACAAAAGCCAAAACTTTTCTGCCCCAAAAAAATAAAAATTTAATTCTTACATTTTTGTTGTCAACACTTAAATAAATACTCGCTTTTGAATAAAAAAAATAGATAAATCAAATTTTAATGTCCCTTATTATTATTTTCAACTCTTTACTTCAACTGATATATATAGTATTTGTTCGCCCACTCTCATCAGTCAGACAATAAAGTAATGAGAACTAAATATCATTATCAAATGCCAAAACTTGTCAGCAACTAGGTTAGACCAATTGCACACAGCAGTTTTTATTATTCGAATTGTTGTGTTTAAAAGAATATAGTTTTTCGTACCAATCGTTTCATTTGAATATTATGATTAGGTTAATTCCTGAAATTACTTTTCTTTTTGTAAAGAATTACACTTTAGTCATTATGGTACGAAAATGCCCTGCCATATACGGGAAGTCCATCAAGTGCTGCTGTTTGTAAGTTTTAATACAATAGATTTGACTATTACATTACACTAGGGCCCAAATAGCAGAGGGTCCATTAAAATCTAAGACTGGGCCAGAACTTGTCGCAACCTTTGCAAAGTAAACGGCAGCATTTTATTATTCCCGCGCTATTTTTTAGCCCATCTAAACTTAAATATTATTAGTAGTTTTATCACCTCTCTTATCAATAAAGTGAAATGAAACTCTGGTTTTTTTATTTTATTTAGTCATATATTATTAACCCATAATTTCTTTTCCTATGTAAATACTCTGGTCTAATGTTACCCCAAATTAGTCCTATAAATCTTTATAAAACTATTATCTAGCCATTGAAGATATCTATAGTGGCCAATAATAATCCATTTTTGGATACAGGCGTTACAAAAAACCATATAATTTCTATATGTTCTTTTGTGATATAGAAAAATAGTTCTTCATTTGCCTATGTTCTTCACTTCAGCGGTTCAGCCGAATTTTTGAGGGAAAGCATAGCTCAAATATCTCACTTAACACTCTCTTTAATACTAATAACATTTGTTTTGTATATAATTCTATAATCGTGCAAACAACCCTACGAGGTGTGTATGAAATATGAACCAATAGCTAGTGTTAACGGGAATATAATCTTGAATAAATGAATTTGCGCCAAGAAAAATGACGAAGCGAATGGTGCAACTATCTAAAGAATCGATTCTAATCAACCTTTCGTACGTGTATTATTCGGATCGATTAATAAAAATTGGGGAACATCAGGATAATAAATTGTGGTGGCGACAAAGAAATATACTCCACATACTATTACCCTGAAAGTATAGTTTTATTCTTACGCTAAGTCAGGGACACGAACTATCTCTACTTTGCACCCATTTTAAAATTCCTCTTCACAGAGGGTAAATAATATATATTTATTTGCAACAAGCAAATAAGGACAGGATCGCAAATCAACATGATATATGGATTCATTGAACATATATGTGTTTTCAGATAATGGAAATATAAACTTTTTTTTGTTTCTGGTTTAATCATTTCATCAATGACCACTTACGCCTAGCTATTTGCTTGGTATATCTGTAAAAGATAACAATATAAAGTATCGTTTAGATTTGGTGCCTGACGATCATTGAGGGTGATTTGTTTGTCAAATTATTTCCTCAAGGTCATCATTGTAAATCACCATTCGAATTAGATCCATGCCATTTGAGAATATCTTAGGAAAAAAGCTAGTTGAATATCTCAATATGGGATGATAAATTCTAAAAATATACAGGGGATCTTTTCAGGCGATAATATTACAGAAGCTATGAAACTGTTAGTTCAAAATATACTATGTAATATGAGATAATTGAATTGGCATTTACATATTGATTATATTAATGAAGACGAGGTAATTGAGTAATTGAGATCATGTGCCTCGTACGTAAGATTCTTGAAAAAGAGAAAACTCGAGTGACCCATGTTAATAATTCATTTTGTTGTAAGTACTAAAACGCATAATTATTTATCACAATTTGGACAATATAGTCTATAGCACAATAATGACAACGCTCCATTTATATATAGTATTTTAAAATGGACCACCTTCTATAAAACCTTCCACGAGCTTTCACATTATTTTCATTTTTCACTAATAGCCAAAATCCCATCTTTCTAATAGGGGGCATCAAATGCTCCCAAATAAGGAAAACAGAAACTATAAGAAAAAGACAAATTAATATTTCTCTATTTTTTAATATATTTATAGAAAACAAAGCGCCTTAAATTTTTTTTTCCCCACTTACACCAAATTACATCCCCCAACATTGATGATATATCACATTTCTGTCCACCGTTAACTTACAACCCCATATTTAAACACGGATTATGCATTAATTAAAACTTTATCTTACAAACTAAAAACAGGACATCACAACATTTATAAGAAAATTACAATTCTGACCCTGATGTCTATCATATTCGTCTCTCTCGCGATGATGGTGATTGCGGAAATTTAATTTGTCTAACAGTTGAAAACATCACCAGCAGTAGAAGCAGAAGTCATGACTGGTTGGTTATAAAACCCTAAATTGAGAGGATTCGTGACTCCGTCGTAAAATCCAGTTCCGCCGCCGCCGCAATCGATTGCTCCACCTCCCTGACCAGTCTCCATCCCAAATCCACCGGCGGAGGAAGAGAATTCGACGAAATGGACGATCTCGTTGAGGGAGTTTAGGCGATGGTTGAGCTCCTGGATCTGAGCTCTGAGAATTGAGTTCTCCGCCTCGATCGTGACGAAGTGCTGCGTCGTGACGGAGATTCCGGCGATGATCTGGCCGTTGTCCTTCTGTAGATGCGCGACCTGAGCGATTAGATCGTCCAAATGCTTCTGCTTCCTCATCCTCGACCTCCTCGCAGATTCTCTGTTCGACTGCTTCCGCTTACGCTTCCGCTCGTCGATCAGATTCTGTTGCCGGAGATCCGACTCCGAACCGGAGTTTGGTAAACCGGTCGTTGAAATCGACGAGAAGTTTCCGCTCGTCGATGATTCTCTATTCATAATTAATTTCTCCAAAACCCAAATTTAAAAAAAAAAAAAAAAAAAAACACAAAAACACAATTGATGACGCAGGACCCGAATTAAAGTGAACTAAAATCGATATGGAAGGCAATATAATATATATATAAAGACTTATATAGTTATACGATATATATATATATTATGGCTAAAGGAGAGATGATTTATGAGAAAACATAGAACCAGTAGAGAAAAACGACTGAGAAAGATTGAACGAGATGGGTCCTGCGTCTAAGGGACGAAGCTATAGTTAAACCAGATCTAAGGATTTCACTAATCACCGGAGACATGAATGTTTGAACATCAAGATCCAGATTTTCGCCACATCAAGCTTTTAAAAACAAAACAGAATTTTAATTTTTCTTGAGAAAATTGAGAAAAGAGAGAATGAAGCAAGAGGTATAAAAAGAGGAGGACGATGAAGAAGAGAGTGATGTATTCGAGAGCGAAGGGGGAAGAGGTAAGTTAGAGATTTGAGAGGTGTTTTTATAGAGTGGGTGAAAGAAAAAAGCTAAACAAAACTAAATTGAATTAAAAAAAAAAACTAAAAAGAGTAAGTGAATATTGTGGAAAATAAGAAAGAGAAACAAAGAAAAAAAAAATAATAATAAAAAAGAATCTGGTAGTTATTAGAAATTTATAACTGTATGGAAGAAGTATGTAAAGTGCAATTTCTAAAACAGTCAAAAATCCATCTATTTTACAATAATTTCATTATTATTTTAAAATATTATAAAATAGTTGAAATTTTGACTGTTTTAGAAATTATATTTTTTCATACAGTTATAAATTTCTAATAGCTATCAGATTATTTTTTATTATTATTATTTTTTTTTTTGTTTCCCTTTCTTGTTTTTCATAATATTCA